GATTTCTACTATTTTCTACTATTTATTCAGCCTGCAAAGAAGTCTGGTGGAGACTACGTTAAAGCTATCCCCTTTTATATCTATACAAGTAGTTTAAGCATGGCTCAGACGGCTGCCTTGCTGTGGCGACAAGTGAGACCGCTGCAGACCGGGAGACTAGCGGCGGCGGCTACAACTCCACTCCGCCTGCGGTCCGGACACCGGCGGGGGATGACGACAGCTGCGGAGACAACAAAAGATGAGGTGAGCTGGTAACGTTTTATTAGGCTTTCGATATTAAAGCACTTATAGATTCTACGCATAAACTGCTTTTTGGAAAGTCTGTAAGGAAACTAAGAAGTTGAATATATGTCTAAAACTTGAGTGTGCCGTCACCATGTTTTGTCAATAAGAGTTACAAAAACCAAGAAGTTAATTAGCTAAAACAGAAGATACACAGTAAACAGAATTCGTTTGAGTCATATGTTTCTCAGCAAAGTGCAATGTGACAAACTATATGTGCATGTACAGGTGTACATGTATCTTTCGTACTACATGTACATGTACCTCGGTCCTAACAACTTTTTGTTTCCTTCATTGTCATGTATAACCCTGGTTAATTAACTGTGGCACCTTAATTTGTTTCATTATTACGTTACCACCATATTTTAACAGGAGCGGTTCCACTGGAAGGACCTACCCTGGCAGGCCATCTCTATAGGTGTAGGAATCGGAACCTTGTTGTACAAGACCCGCAAGAGCGAAGAGTTGGAGCTTCGCAGGAACAACCTGGCGTATGTCAACAGCCAACTCTCCCAGCTGTACGGTCCTCTGTACGGCAACAGGCTGGCCAATCACAGGAGCTACAAGGAGGCTCTTCAGGGTCACGACAACCTGGTGAAATTTCTCCGGGAAGCCGAGAGAAAATGGCGGGACCCGGAGACAACGGATGAAGGGGTACGGCTGTTGACGAGATGGCGCAAGTTTCTGTTTTACGTCATGCATCCGCTGGATCTGAAGGCTGAGGAAATCATACGTCACAACGCACATCTGTTCGAGCACGGAGTTGAGG